TCTTAACCCCCAAATCTGCTCTTGACTTATATGTTGTTGCACTGGAGCCCTGAAAGACCTTTTCACCACAAGCCACACTCTGTCCAGGTAATCCAGTAAGTAAAAAGTTTATTAAGAGACGAGTATATAAGAAATAAACAAATCTAAAAAGGAGAATCAAAGGTCAAAAAGTTATTTCCAAGATAGCCAAGATTTCAAAATCCTTTCAAATACAGTCTTAAGAGTCACTGATATACCCTTGGATTCATGATAGCATGAATCCAAGGCAGGCAAGCTATGCTACACATGAAACTAGAAACAGGAACAAACCTAGACACTTGAATACATGAATGCACAAACATAGGACTAGAAACCAAGAGCTGCTCAACTGAATACAATGTTTCAGGATTGTATCAGCAGAAAACCACTTAAAAGGCTTCAATCCCTCCCATGGCATCATTCCTCTCACACCTGCCTTTCTTCTCCTTATCTCTAAGCCACTGGGAAAAGCAAGTCTGTCTCTGCAGTACGCTCTGCCTCTGAAGTTTCAAGTGCCTTGATCTGGACAAATATGCATCTCCAACATTTCTCTCAGCTTGCACTTCTGGCAGATTTCCATGAGAACTGATATTGCTTACAACAGAGACAGACTTGCTTTCCCCAGTGGCTTAGAGATAAAGAGAAGAAAAGCCGGTGTGAGAGAAATGGGAACTGCCAGGAGATTCCAAAACAATTATCTCCAGGCCACTTCTATCCTCTTATTGGCCCTCCGAATCTATCCCACGATCTCCTTTCCTCATCTTCTGAGCACTCAGAATCTGACCAGGCTACAACATATGAGGTTGATCTGTATGAGTATATAGTGGAAACCAACAAATTATTATTATCAGGAGTTGTATCACCTTTAAGAATTGTGTTCCTACACTTCAACCACATTGTACAAAACTGTTCTAATCTGCAAAAGGACTCCAAAGTGCTACAAGATGCCTTTGAATATTTGAGTACTGGAATGTGACATCTAAAACTATGGCATTATGGGAGATGTTTTGCAAATTAGTATAATTAAACCATATTCTGCAAAATGATTCTAATTTGCAAAATGTTTCCCATAATGCGATAGGTTTAGATGCCATGTTCCAGGACTCCAGTTCCATGTTCCAGGACACTCACTGGAACACCTCAGCAAGCGAGAGTCCAAAAGTGGCAGGCCCAAACCCAGCACCTCAACCAATGGCTGATACCAATGAGAGACTCCCTCCTGGGCACACAGAAGACTGGGCGACTTGGAAGGCACTGAACAGACTGCGCTCTGGCACCACGAGATGCAGAGCCAACCTTCAGAAATGGGGCTACAAAGTGGAATCCTCGGCATGCGAGTGTGGAGAAAAGCAAACCACTGACCACCTGCTGCAATGCAACCTGAGCCCTGCCACATGCACCATGGAGGACCTTCTTGCAGCAACACCGGAAGCACTCCAAGTGGCCAGATACTGGTCAAAGGACATTTAACCAACTACCAAACTCACAAGATGTGTATTTTTCTGTCTGTTTGCTTTGTTCTGTTAGAAATGTAATATATAATGGACTGGTTGCTCTGACACGACAAATAAATAGGACTCCAGTACACAAAGGGATCTTGTAACATTTTGGAGAATAACTATGAGTACGAGGTTGGTAGTCTAAGCCTTCGTGAAAGTTGAGTGCAACTACAGCCAATATGATTGTCTATTGAAGGACTTCTTAAACTTTCTCACTTGTGATCCCTTTTTGTCTGAGAAATTTTTACATGACCCCATATATTTAGATATACAAAACAGATATAAAACCAAGCATTTATAAGAAACAAATGCAAGGCTTGCTAAACAGACTGATTTTTCATTTTATGAAGTACAGCTGAAGCATCTTCAGCAGAGCCCACTGGAAACACTGCACAGCAGATGAGTGTAAATGTCTTAAAACAGCCTCTAGGTCAGCTGGTAAACTGGTTGGGATTTCTGGGAGTTGTAAGCCAAAACACCTGGGGAACCACAGGTTGAGAACCACTACTCTAGATGGTGTTCAGAAGATTTTTATTGTTACGAAATTTTTCAGGACCCCAACAGTGAACTAAGGGAATCCCATTTGAGGTTGGGACCAACAGTTTATTGCACTTCTTGTGTATTTCACATTGATGCTCGCTGAACTTTTCCTTGCACATCACAACACAATAACAAAAGGCATAGTACAACTTATTGTCGAAGGCTTTCATGGCCGGAATCACTGGGTTGTTGTAGGTTTTTCCGGGCTATATGGCCATGTTCTGGAGGCAATTTTTCTCCTGACGTTTCGCCTGCATCTATGGCAAGCATCCTCAGAGGTAGTGAGGTAGTAGTGACCTCACTACCTCTGAGGATGCTTGCCATAGATGCAGGCGAAACATCAGGAGAAAAATTGCCTCCAGAACATGGCCATATAGCCCGGAAAAACCTACAACAACCCATAGTACAACTCTTGTGCAACTCTATGTGCTTCAAAACACATTGTGTTTTCGGTGCAGGAGTTAGGCATAGTCTTTGTTTCCTAAATAACATTCTTTTCACTTTTTTGAGGGCTCCTTTTTCTACTCTCTTGTGCTCCAATTGTAGCTTTTGCTGCAGTCCCAACACAGATGGAAATGGCATTCCTGTGTCAGAAACTGCAATGCTTTCTTTCCTTTTCTATTTTTGCTTGTCTTCATTTGACTTCCCACTGGAGCCAATTTGTGTCACGGAAAATGTCTCCAGATGTACGAAAAGCAACCAATTTCTTGCATCTCGATAAAAGGTCTTGGAAAGAAATATTTCATTTCATTTCACCTTGGCTTTCACTTGGTAACTCAATAATCCCACAGTCCATTGCCGCTACATGGGTGTGGTAGTGGTGGTGGTGGTGGTGTGTGTGTGTGTGTTTGCAGCTAGACTCTGATGCAGTTTTTCTAAAGGCTCCTTATTGGTTTCAGTTACTTTGTTTATAGTAGGGCAGTGGTTCTCAACCTGTGGGTCCCCTAGTGTTTTGGCCTACAACTCCCAGAAATCCCAGCCAGTTTACCAGCTGTTAGGATTTCTGGGAGTTGAAGGCCAAAAACATCTGGGAACCCCAGGTTGAGAACCACTGTAGTAGGGAATCCTGTGCTACCATAAGAACAAAGGGGTTTCTTACAGAATCACAAGGGAATTGTAAGGGCCATTTAAACCACACACCTTCCCCCTTGCCATGTGGTAATACACAATTTAGGGCACTTTCACACAGCCATACAACCCAGAATAACAAGGCAGATAATCCTCAATATCTGTTTTGAACTGGATTATCTGAGTCCACACTGCCATATAATTCAGGTCATTGTGGATTGTATACAACTGTGTGGAAGGGACCTAAGGCACAACCAAACAAAAGTAATCAAACTTCTGTTTAAAGAAGTCCAAAAAAGAGAGTGTCAGCACCCACCAAAGCAGACTTATTGTCAAACAGTTTCCAGTTTCCACAAACAAGGTTTATTTTAACGTTTAGGTAGACTCTCTTTTGTTGCTGTATGCATTCATTGGTTCTGCTCCATATTTGATATGACATCTCTTCAACAAGGTTGTATCATAACTCTCAATCTTTGCTTCTTCAAGCCTGCCCTGTTTCCTAATTTGTTGCTTGTAGGGTTTAGTTTTTTCTAGCAGTCATCTCAATCACTGCTACAAATGGCGTCAGTCTGGATTCTTGAATGGTCTCATGTGTACATTCCAATAGAGAGAGGACAGCTACTGCCGTCTTCTTGGGTGATTGTACGTAATATTATGAGAAGCTTCCTGTAGCCAAAGAATTCATATATGTGGTTTTATTTACCCACACTCAGAAAAAATCATATCTCTGTGAATTTGCCAGGTCTCCCAAAGGATTACACGGTATTTTCACAGCAGTTACAACAGAGTTGGGCAAAAGTATGATAGCTGGGACCCTACGCTGGTTGCGCAATGCGGGTTTGAATTAAGGGGAACACGTGCACGAGACAGTGCAACGAGTGAGAGATGCAGCTGTGTCAGAGTCGTGGCAACATTGTTCACCAGAAAGGGGGAGAGGAAACATTTCTATCCCGTTTACCGTCTTCGTAAGCCGTTGTTTATCATTTGACATTAACTCAAAACATTACTTCACTCTTATCCTGTTGAACATGAGTTCAATTACTTCACTGCTATCCTGTTGCAGCTGCGTCTCTCATTTGCTCCACTGTCTCACACACATCTTCCCTTAATTAATTTTAACCCGCGTTGCACAAGTAGCATAGTGTTGGGTCCCAGCTATCATACTTTTGCCCAGAGTTGCAATGGAGGACCTAGTAAATTACTAGGAGGATACCTCTGTGGCTAGACCTGTTATTTTACCACAGTAAGCAGAACACCCAAGAGCCATCAGTGGTTTGAGCGCTGGACTAGGACACCAAGAAACCAGGAGTCAAATATCCAGTTGACAATAGAAACCCATTGGGTGATCCACACTCTTTCAACCTGAGAAGAAGGAATAGACCAAGCATGGCAAACTTTGGCCTATCGGATGTTAGGAGTTATGGGAATTGAAGTCCAAAACACTTGTAGGGCAAAGTTTTGCACATGCCTGGAACAGACCAAACCCTTATCAACAAATTTTGCCAAGAGGAAGCAGGCTTGTTTTCTGCTGGCCTTGAAAGTAGGACTAGGAGCAATGGGTTCAAATTACAGGAAATGAGATTCCACCTGAACATTAGGAAGAACTTCCTGACCCTAAGAAGAACAGTTTAACAGAGGAACTCTCTGCCTTGGAGAGTGGTGGAAGCTCCTTCCTTGAAGGCTTTTAATGAAAGGCTAGATGGCTATATGTTGGGGGTCCTTTGATTGTGCTTTTCCTGCATGGCCGGAAGGGGTTAGACTAGATGGCCCATGTGGTCTCTTCCAACTCTATTATTCCATGATTCTAGTTGGGTAGGTAGGTATACTACTTTAAATCACTGATAATTTCACTTAATAGTCTCAAAGGTCACTTACCCTGGAAGAACCTCGGATGACCTCAGATAATTGTCGGATGGCATTTGTGCACGTCGTAATGGTTTTGTTGGTCTCTTGTTGTGTTGTGTGCCTTTACAAAGGAAAGAATCAAAAACAAAGGTTAACAATATTTTCAAGGGCCTTCCTTCCATGAAAGTCTGAGATGCTGGTGTTAAAAACCAAGAAAGAAGTGTTATTATCATAAAATCTTATAAGACAGCTCTTTGGCTCATGCAACCTCTCTTGCTTCGTGTATATATATAAAATGTCTGCAAACTCAAAGGCATGGGATTTGAGAGAGTTCAAAAGAGGTCCAGGCTTACAAGGACTTGGGTTCATGGTGACCCTATGAATGAAAGACCTCCAACTCACCATATCTATTATCCTGCTTTGATCAGGGTGGTGACTTCCTTGACTGAGTCATGTCTCCTCATGATTCATGTCTTCTCATGATATGACCACTGTATGACAACCTCGGTTCATTCATCTTAACTTCCAGAGAGAGTCCAGGCTTGATTTGCTCTGAGACCCACTCATTTGTCTTTATAACTGTCAATTATATCTGCAGAACTCTCCTCTGATATTGCCATTCTAATGAATTGGTTTGCTTCTTGGTTTAATACTCATAAATACAAACCAGAAATACTGTGAAATGGATTATTCCAGCTTTGGTATCACCCCTTAGTCTTCTTTCATCAGGCTGAACATGATCAGCTCCTTCAATCTCTTCTCATTTCTTGTGTCCTCCATACCTCTTATCACACTTGTTGCCCTTCGCTGAACCCACTCCATCTTGGTTACAGCTTCCTTAAAATGAGGTGCTCACAACTGAATGTAGTGCTCCACAGGAAGCCTGACAAGTGCCAAATATAGTATATTACTTTGCTGAACTTGGAAACCATGCAGGCTAACGTAACATTCACTTTCATTGCTGCAATATCACACTGTTGGTAAGATATTTACTTTATAATCACCAATAACCCTAAATCCCTTTTTACATGTACCGTTGTCATGCCTTTTCCAGCAAGTTAAGTCATTGCATGATATGTTGAAAGTACACTAGCCGTAGAATAGAATGGGATTATGACTTAATTTACATTGGAAACTATAATTCTACTGAAGGCCAAAAAAACCTGCCTTCTTTGCTGTAGCATCACATTGTTGAGTCAAGTTCAATGTATGATAAACAATAATTCCAAGATTATTTTCTTCTGAGTACTGCTCAGTGAAGTATACTATACTCGATCAGTAATGCAGCTTGGGAAGTACAAGGCATCCCAATCTCTTAGGGCTGTGACACAGCTGTTAAGTAGCCAGCTGCATTAAATCCCTACTGACCGAGAGGTCATGAGTTTGAAGCCAGCCTAGTCCCAAGTAAACTCTCAACTATTAATAGTCTGGCTTGCTGTTGAAATATGCAGCCCAAAAGACAGTTGCATCTCTCAAGTAGGAATTTTAGGTACCACCTTATGCGGGTAGGCTAAATTAACTAATTTATGACATCATAAAACCTTCCAGTAGTGTGTATAAGAATGAGGAAGTACTCCATCAAGGACTCGTTGTCACAAGTTGATGGTGAAGCAACAGCTCCCCCTGTGGCTGGAATTAAGCAAGCCCTCTTGAAGCTGGAAAGCTGGAATGTTAAATTACCTCTGTGTCTGTCTATATGTGCTGTATGTCTAATGGCATTGAATGAGAAGGGTGGAATATAAATACTGTAAGATAGATAGATAGATAGATAGATAGATAGATAGATAGATAGACAGACAGACAGACAGACAGACAGAAAGACAGACAGACAGACAGACGTATTTGGGTTTTGTGGCTGAAATCTTGACTTTTCCATTTGTTTTCGTTGGATTCAAATAGTTTTGGTCCAATTTTAAAGTCCCTATTTAGATTTTGGAGATCCTATTTTAGATATGGAGCCCCCGGTGGCGCAGTGGGTTAAAGCACTGAGCTGCTGAGCTTGTTGATCGAAAGGTCGCAGGTTGATTCCGGGGAGCGGCGTGAGCTTCCGCTGTCAGCCCTAGCTTCTGCCAACCTAGCAGTTCGAAAACATGCAAATGTGAGTAGATCAATAGGTACCGCTCCGGCGGGAAGGTAACGGCGCTCCATGCAGTCATGCCGGCCACATGACCTTGGAGGTGTCTACGGACAACGCTGGCTCTTCGGCTTAGAAATGGAGATGAGCACCACACCCCAGAGTCAGACATGACTGGACTGAATGTCCTTTACCTTTACGTATTTAGATTTTAAAAAGACTCTCTGCCTGCACATGAGATAGTTTTTCATTTGCAGGGGGGAAAAAACAAACATAGAAGAACTCCTGGTGACATCTACTTGGACCTGAATGAATGTGTCTCTTTGGATATGTGTTTGGTAGCTTCACCTCTATGTAAAATCTCTGCAGTGTGTCTCCATTTGCAACAGGCTCTACTCTCAAGAGCTTTAAAAAAGCAAACACAGGTAGAACAGCTGCCTGTGATTAAGAAAAAGAAACACACAGCAATTTTATGCACAGTAACCAGCAATCGTATAAATGGGAACTTAGTGTTCCATGAAGGCAACATCTCCACAGCCACAGAGCAATGCCTCCGATGCCTACCACTGAACTGAAAGCAAAAGACAAGACAAGAGGCCATAATTTTGTCTCTCCGAGCCAGTCAAAGCATCCAAGATTAAAAAAAAAAACACAGAGAACAGGCGGTCTTACAAATGCTTTGTTACATTAAAAGACTTGGCAGTGTGGACTTCATTCAGCTACCACGTAGTGATTTTTGTTCATTGATGTTTCCTATGTTTATAGCACTTGCTGTTTTGAGTGTTGGTCGATTTAATTACTCCGTAAAAAAAGTTTCAAACTGAGTGGAAAGACTCCATCTTTCCAGTACTCCCAGCTACCCAACAGAACTTACCAATACGAAAATAGAAATGATTAATTCATGCAATTCAAACAAAAAGTAATGTTTCAAATTGGGTCTGAGCATATTGACACAGAGTTGGATGTACTCACACCTAGCAAAAACATTACAACTTCCAGGATCGTGTAACAAAGAGCTATGACAGTTAAAATGTTATCAAATTGCATTAATTCGACAATGTAATCCAGGTCATCCTAGTGTTAAAGGGATCACTTCACTTCACTTCACTTAGGCGATCCCTCATTAGACGAGTAAGATGGTCTTCCATTATGGGTCTCCTTGTGGGTCCGCATGTGGCTGTGCTCTGCACCTTCTCCCGCAGTGTGGGCATTGGTTTCCAGGTGGAAGGCGGTCCCGGTCGGGGTTGGCTTGATGCGCCTTCCTCCTGGCACATTTCTCTCTTTCACCCTCCACTCGTGCCTCCTCAAATTCTGCAGCACTGCTGGTCACAGCTGACCTCCAGCTGGAGCGCTCAAGGGCCAGGGCTTCCCAGTTCTCGGTATCTATGCCAGAGTTTTTAAGGTTGGCTTTGAGCCATCTTTAAATCTCTTTTCCTGTCCACCAACGTTCCGTTTTCCGTTCTTAAGTTCAGAGTAGAGCAACTGCTTTGGGAGACATCCGGACAAGACAACGTGGCTGATCCAGCGGAGTTGATGGCGGTGGACCATCGCTTCAATGCTGGTGGTCTTTGCTTCTTCCAGCACGCTGACGTTTGTCTGCCTGTCGTCCCAAGAGATTTGCAGGATTTTCCGGAGGCAGCGCTGATGGAATCGTTCCAGGAGTTGCATGTGACATCGGTAGACAGTCAACGTTTCGCAGGCATAAAGCAGGGTTGGGAGGAAAATAGCTTTATAGACAAGCACCTTGGTATCCCTACGGATGTCCCGTCCTCAAACACTCTCTGCTTCATTCGGGAAAATGCTGCACTCGCAGAGCTCAGGCGGTGTTGTATTTCGGCGTCGATGTTGACTTTGGTGGAGAGGTGGCTGCCAAGGTAGTGGAAATGGTCAACATTTTCTAATGCTACACCATTAAGCTGTATCTCTGGCATTGGGATCACTTCTCACTCTCTACCTGTTCTATTTTACTTCTTACTTTCTGTGAGGCTTGGATGCAAATGTTTCTTCTAGCAGATAGGGTTGCTGCATACACTTTATGTGTATGCAGGGGCGGCTCAACCCATTACGTAAAGTAAGCATTTGCAGTATAGTTGATTTTGCCCAGGGGTGCTCTTGAGGGAAAACAGACCTTGACATATGCGAGTTGTAGTTACTGGGATGTATAGTTCACCTAAAAAAGAGCATTCTGAACTCCACCAATGATGGAATTGAACCAAATATGGCACACAGAACTCCATAACGAACAGAAAATATATATCAATGATTGGTTGGGGGGGGGGGGACGGCGGCAAAATACTGTTTGCTTACCATTGAAAATTACCTAAGACCACCTCTGTGTGTGTGTGTGTGTGTGTGTATGAGAGTAATCCCTCTTGCTGTATTGTAGGATGACAGTCCTTGGAATCCAATTCTTTCTGCCGGATATGTCCCTTTAATTAACTTCTTCCTGTCCCATGGGGAGAAGTAAAGCTACTAATAAAAATAATACTGACATATCTTATTACTGTTCTGCATTAAAATAAAATAAAAATGCTGGGGGAGGTGAAATTCCAAAAAGCTTTCCAAGTTTTAATGAAGATCCCAGCAGAACCGAAAGTAAATTAAATCTAATCACCATTTGATTTATGAATGATCTCCAAGAGTGACGGCACGCAAGTTAATTATGTCTGACAGTACAGTGCTGTAGATGATATTGCATATTGAGGTTTTGCTGAGAACAGGCTTGGGGTGCAGCAAGGAAAAGACAAGGAGCACAGGTCAATGGCAAAGCTTTCACATACTCAAGATTAAGGGAAAGTCTACATGGGCTGGAAAACCCATCTTACTTTGAATTCACTTCTGGATGCTCTCATGGTGATAGCCTACTTCCAATGAATGTTACAGGTTTTTTTTTTTGGAGGGGGGGGTCAAAACAACTTTGTCTAACTATGGGCAAAGTCAAGGGATTCTCTAGAGTTTTCTGGAAACTCCAGAGTATCTTGTAGGTTTGAGGCAGTCTGGACAATGAGATAGGGTCTCACCAGTGTAAGGAGAAGAAGAAAAAAACA